TGACTGGCCCTGATCGATTTGAGAAAGTGAGGAGAAGCAAGCGGTGTGAGGCTGCAAGGATAGCCAAAAAGAGAGACACAGAGGCGACTTTACCAGCATCCAGGTCGCGAGTGATGCTGTAACTCCACTCAAACTCACACGCAAGCAACTTACTCTCCCTTCCCTTCCTCCTCTTCGCGTGCTTATGCTCACCCAAAAACCAAATTTCGAGCAAAATCGACCACGTGATCGATCACAATCGCGATTCATTCAAATTCACGAGTCTTGATTGCCCGCGCTGTGCCATGCCGGTCGGGATGCCGCGCACGTCAGAGCTTTGGAGCAGGCGAGCAGCGGCGTGAGCGGAAGAATTTCAGAGCCTTTTTCTCCTTCACACAGGAGGCAGATGCGCTCGCTGCTGCTTGCTTGCTTGCTGCCGATGCATGGACTGCAGCTGCTGGACGGAAGCTTGGCATGCAGCACGTTCTCAACACGCGCGTGGCCGACGAGACGATCGGGGACGTGATTCTGATTGTGATTGAGCTGCTCTGCTAGCCGTTCCTGCCATTCTTGCACTACCACTCCCCCTCCGCTTGTACAGTCAAGAAGAGGATTGATTGTAATTGCCGCGCTTCTCTGATGGCGACACTTCAGACTACTCGTTCCACTTGCACTCACACCCGCGACTCCTAATCCACTCCGTATACTCCTTGTGGAGTGTAGCCACTGCTCCTAGCCATCTCTTCCACCATCAAAGACCTGGAAGAGCACGGCGAGCCGATTGATTGCACTCTCCATCCACGGCCATCTCCCTTCCACATTCAAGATTGTGGAGATTGCGGCTGGAATATCAAGATTCAGAGGCGCTCTATAAAAAGACGGACGCAGCCACTGCTTGCTCCGCACGTCTATCCACACCTGATAGGCATGCTTGTTTACGCCTCGTGACTGCACAACGTGCTGCTACTCTATCCAACGTCGTTCGGTCCGACAAACGTGCAACGAGAAGACCTCCACAACCGCACAAACGGAATCAGGCATATTGCAGCTCGCGCCCATAAGCGGGCTCCAAGTTGCAGACTGTGATCCATCAGTTCAACACCAAGACTTGATGTTCAATCAGTGACTCTCGCTGCTATTACTCTACCTTCGCTCTTCCCGCGATACTTGGCCTTCCTTGCAACCAACTTGCACCCTTGAGAATCTGTCCTGGCTGTCAAAGTCACGTAGGACACGTCAACGTCCCCGGCCTTCCGCACACGGTGCACCGGACAGCTCGCGTTCGCTTCTCGTCTTTAGATTGCCGTCTAGAGTCTCCGCATACAACTCACGCGCGCGCACTCTCCTCTTCACCTCTCTTGTTCATTCGCCCGCTCAGCGCCTGGCCGTACATAGCTTTTTCAACGAAGCGCAAGAAGCGCAAAATCACGAATGGACTCGACGCTGACTGGTCACCTCACACCAAGGCGAAGACGTAGGCGCTGAAGGGTATCAACAGGAGCGGCACAACAATCTCATACTTCGCATCATCTAGCGCCAGCACTCTTTCCCGCCGAGATGGATTCGGAGATGACGGACATGGCGTCGGAGGCCATTGCCAATGTGGAGCCTGGCAGCTTTCGCCCCTTTGAGGTAACGGCGGTACACATTATCTACACTGCCTTGGGCGGCTTCATCGTCATAGTGAGTAGCTGGCTCGGGGCAGTCTAGCAAGAGATTTGGTATCTCACTCGATCTTGTTCGGGGCATGTAATGCCAACCTGACGCACAATCATCGTACCCCCGCATCAGTTTGGCATGCTTTCGCTCTTCATAAAAGAACGACTGTACATGGGAGAAGCCCCATTGGCAGCCTTGTTCGGCATCATCATCGGACCGGTAGCCGCGACCATCTTTGATCCAACAGCATGGGGAGGCAATCACATGGGCACACCAGGTGGTCACGTCACCAACGAAGTCACTCTGGAAGTGCTCCGCGTAACACTTGCGCTCTCGGTCTTTGCTATTGGGGTAGAGTTGCCGAAGAAATACTTGCTGAGGCATTGGAGGTCCGTCTTCATCCTATTGGGTCCGGTCATGATCTGGGGCTGGATGATCACCGGCTTGCTCATCTGGGGTCTCATACCCGGACTAGACTTTCTCAACAGCCTCGTGGTCGCTGCAGCCGTCACTCCCACAGATCCTATTCTGGCTCAAGCAGTCATCGGTGGTCCTTGGGCAGAGCAGCACGTGCCTGCTCACATACGACACATTCTCCTTTGCGAGTCGGGCTGCAACGACGGTGCAGCATTCCCATTCTTGTTCCTCTCCATCTTCCTCACCACACACAGAGACAATACCGGTCGAGCCATCGCTTTATGGTTCTACGACGCTTTGGGATATCAAATCATTCTGGGAACCCTGCTTGGAGCGCTCATCGGCTTCTTGGCGCGCAAGTTCATGCGCTTCAGCGAGAGGCACAAGCTCATCGACAGAGAATCTTTTGTCGCTCAGTACATCAGCTTGGCCGTGCTCAGCATGGGCGTGGGTGTACTGCTGGGCAGCGACGACCTTTTGGGCGCTTTCGCTTGCGGCACCGCTTTCGCTTGGGATGGATGGTTCACCCGGCAAACCGAAGAGTCCAACTTCAGCAATATTGTTGATCTGCTCTTCAACGTCGCTTCCTTCGTCTACATTGGCGCTCTTATGCCTTTCCACAATTGGGTCAACGCCGAGATCGGCTTGACTCTGGGAAGACTGTTCCCTCTCTCCATCCTCACCTTGCTACTCAAACGCATACCGCCGATTCTCATCCTTTGGAAGTGGATTCCGGACATCAAGTCTTTCAGAGAAGCCTTGTTCGCAGCTCACTTTGGTCCTATCGGCGCTGGAGCACTGTTCATTTCCACGCTGGCTCGCACAGAGCTGCCAGAAGAGGTCAACTATCCGCCGGAAAACGGCATCGATCATCTGGCCGCCACTTGCCAAAGCATCGTTCTCTTCTTCATTCTCTCCTCCATCATCGTACACGGTCTGTCCATACCCTTTTTCAACTTTTCCAGGCACGCGACGACGATTACGAGGACTTGGAGCAGGCACGCTTCCATGCGGCTCACGCAGACGCAAGAGGGCGGCGAACCTGGTTGGCTGCATCGCGTCAGGAGATTCAAGACGGGCGATACTCTCAAGCATGAAGAGGGACAAATGTCAGAGATCGAAAGGGTGCTCAATGCTCAGCTGGGTGTCATCGGTAGAGGAGCAATTGGTGGGGATGCGGAAAAAGAGCTGCGCAAAGAAGACACTCAGAATGGGACCTCTAACAGTGCCGAAGGCAGCGGTAGCGGAGCTGATGAGTCTTCGTCGAGCGGCGGTGAACGAGGTCCATCGACTCCGTTCGTCGGTCTCCTGAACAAGCGGACCGAAAAAGACCTTGAAAAGGCGGACGAAGAGGATGTCGACGATCCTGAGGACTATGATGGAGGCTATACTCACGACCCGTCCAGCGAATGGGGCGGGGAAGACTGCATAGAGATGCGCCGCTACAGGGAGAAGAGAGCGCGAGAAAGGGAAGAGAGACGGGTGAGGGAACGCGCGAATGAGCAGAGGAAAAGCGGAGACCGGGACGACGCTCGGCGGGCAGAGCAGAGGGATGCAGAGGACGGAGATATTGGTGAAGCGCCCATGGATCGAGAGCTTCATCAAGGTCAAGTACCAGAACCTTTGGCTGACGATGTTAGGGAAGAGCAGCGCCGAGCAGGCGTGTCTGGTGCGCACGATGCGCAAGGGGCCGGCTCAGGAGGTACGTACCCATGCATGCGCTCGTGGGTGGAGGGCCACAAGCTTCTGCTTGAGTACCAGAAGAGCAGATCCAGCGAGCCAGAGGTGCACATTCTGGAGCTGACGGATGGGGACAGGGAGGCCCTGCACGAATCCGAGACCCCTGCGCACGCTTGGGTCAGGCATCACGCAGAGGGCATAGAGCAGCATTTGGGCATTACGGAACACCACGAGTGGACGCCAAAGCAAGCGGTAGCGAACATCATACATCATGGAATTGTCGACAAGTACAACGATCATATTCGATCCACTCGAAATAATTCTCAAGGCGGTCAGGCCACGTCTCAAAAGCGTACTACCAGCGCCTCGCCCCATAGCGATGACGGTCGCTTTGAGCGAGACGAGCGCGCCGCCCTAATTTACGGCGGACTTAGCGCCGCTTCTGGCCTCAGGAATCGCAGGGGCGACTCGAAAAGCCCCACAACGGTAGCTCGAAGAGGCTCATCTGCACAAGGATCTGACGAAGGAAATTCTTCCAGCTCAAAATCTCCCACGAGGTCAAGCAGCAAAGCTGAGAAAGTCTCGAAGCCAATGGTGCACTCTACAAGACCGGCTGGTGCGACTGCTGGAAGGCGCTTGTCTTTGCGCAAGAGATTGTTGGCTGGCCATATCAACTTTCAAGGTCGCAGAGGCGGCCAGGACGACGAGGGCTTGGAGGCTCATGAGGAAGTCATCAGCGAAGATTCTGCTTTTTCAGCGCCAGCGTCAGCTCAGACGTCGGCTCCTCGGCCTACGTCCATCTTCATGGGTCAATCGGACGGGGGAGGTAGATCAGGAGCTGGCTTTCCGCGCACCGACTCCCTCCCTTCGACGCCTCGCTCTGCGACTAGATTCTTGCCGCGCACTGCCAGTGCGGGCGGCCTGGCCGACGACAGCTATCAGAAAGGTACTGTGCAGTGGGTAGATGTGGCGGACAAGAAGCATGAGCATGTGCCTGGTCTTCATCCCGCACCACGCGGAAGGGCAACTAGCGCTGCTGGGAAGCCTTCCTCCAGGTCTGCCTCGCCTCACGGCGCCACGCCGACAGAGGCGGAGAGGTACAGCAAGCACTTAGGACGCACCCGAACAGTATCTAATGCTTCTCAAGCCGAAGCTAAGGATGTCCCGGGCTCTACTGCGATCGAGGACGAATCTTCTCCCAGCGGCGGGGGCACCGGCTCTGGACATGCGCGACGCAGCAAGGGCAGAATAGGCTCGCTACTCAGTTCACTCACTTCTGCTCGTCATTCGTCCCAAAACTCAGATGGAGAGATGGAATCACCGCGCACGCCCGTCTCTCGCTTCCTTGCACGGCCAAGCACGCTTTCTGCTGAGCCGGAGCCCAATCTCCAAGCGGCGCCGCCTCGTGCAGCTACCACCATGAGCAGCGAGACTGGCATCCTCTCCAGCGCAAGCCAATTCGACAATGTGAAGGCGGACGAGATGGACGAGCATTTGAAGTCCTCCTCAACTCCCGGTAGCGCTAGTCAGAGCGTCATGCTTGACCTACCTGGTCAAGATGACCCGGTCGCCCCAGGAAGCAGATACCCTTAGAATTCTTTCGCAGCCATGATCGTCCTTTTGCCCCCAGACGTGGCGCGCAGCGGTCATCCTTTCTGATTTCAGGCTCCCAATTTGTCGACCACATATCGATGTACATCTAGAAGAGTGTGACTTCTTCACGCATATTTATTGTCGAGCCGAATGGTCACAGGGGCACTCGTGCCCTTCATTCACTCGCCCGTCTCTCTCAAGCAAGCCTCCGCGTGACAGCTCGCGCAGACATCTGGATCGAAAGGATACATTGAAAAGGGCATTCGAATGAACACCGCAGTACAACCTTGCTTTGTACGATTTGAGTCGAATCAACTGATGCTTGTGGCGGCCGACATGAAAGTCCACTTTAATCTGTGGAGCCTCCTCCACCTCTTCCTCTTCCTCCTCGAGAGCCACGAATGGGGATTGTTCCACCCACAGGTCGAGCACGCTTGGAAGTCAAGGTGCCATTGTTGGAGCCTTCTTCCGCTGCTCTTTTCCCGGTGGTACTACCCGCGGAGTTTGCTCCGCCTCTGCCTCCTCGGCCTCCACGGATGATGGTCGTAGCTCGGGTAGGCCCACCGCCTCGGCCGCGCACAGCTGCTGGCGCAACGGGCACAGATGCAGATGCAGACGGTGCTGCGACAGCTTGCCCATTGGAGGCAGCCGATGCAGTGGAGCTCGCGCTTTCAGCTGCTTCGACAGGCGCGGAAGTGACGACCGCCGCCGTGGATGCAGGCATTGCAGCTGGAACTGTCGAAGAAGTTACGGCCTCAGCGCTCGAAGCTACAGCTTGGCTGCTTTGCGTGCTTGAGGTAGTGGGCAATGGCTCTCCCTTGGCTTCAGCTAGCTGCGTAGTGAGCGTAGCGATCTTCTTGTCACGGAGTTTGACGACAACTTCGTTTCTTAGATTGGCTTCGCTCTTGCCTGCTTGATACCTTGCTTCAAGCACCTCCTTGTGCTGTTCTTGCCATTGCTTCTCTGCTTGCTCGACACCCTCCTTTACACGTGCCTCGATGGTTTGCTGAACGTCAGAGGGGATCGATTGCTGTCCTCGTTTCTTGAGTGCGACGTCAATGGCTTGTTGCTGGCGTTTGGCGTAAAGCTGCGCGAGGTGCGACTCTTGTTGCTCGAGCGCTTCCGAGTGCGCCTGTTTGAGATCCTCAATGACTTTTTGATCAGGACCTGAGCCATCCAGCGATGACTTCAGAGCGTCGAGCTCCGCCTGAAGCTCTGCAATCCTTGTATTAGCAGCATCGAGAGCAGCTTGGAGCTCCGCGACGCGCGCAGAGGCGACCGCGCTCGGAGATCCTCTTTCAGCATCCGCCTCGCCTTCCTCAGCTTCATCGACTTTGGCTGCACCGGCCGAGGAAGCGTTTTGTCCCTGAGACGCGCGCTTTGCAGCTGCTTGCTCAATCTCGGAAAGATGATTGGCTTCCCACTCTGCACGCAGCCTTGCTGCTTGCTCGCCAAATTCTCGCTGCGCTGTCTCCTGCAGTGCAGAGAGAGCGGAGGGCACAGTCAGCGTGGAAGTCAAACAGAACTGAAATTTAGGACTGAGCTAGAGCGGGGCACGCACCAGTGCTGTCTGTGACTCTTGATGCTTGGCAGACAGCTCACGATGGACTTCCTCGCTACGGGCTTTGGCGGCCTCAAATTCGCGCTTCTCTGCGTCCCAAGAAACACGAGCTTCTTGTATAGCCTTTGTGACAGCCTCGTCTGTAGATTGCCCGGATGCCTGCTGCGCAACCGCATCGCTGGGACTAGGATCCGCTTTACTCCCTTCTTCGAGACGTTGTTGCAAACTCTCCACCTCAGAGCGAAGCACCGCCGACGACTCTTCGAGAGAGTTCAGCTGAGTCTGTAGCTGTTCGTTCTGAGCCTTGAATTCTTCATTCGCCTTTTCCAAAGCCTCCGCTGCAGCGACGCGCGATGCGGTGGCTCTTAGCTGGTTGGCTTCGGCCTGTGCTTCTCGCTTCTGACTGTCCGACGTCCGGAGTCGCTCCTGCGTCTGCTGCTTGAGGCGCCCGAATTTCTCCTCTGCCGTAGTGAGATCAGCCTTGGCTTTGTCAAGCTGTCATGGAGTACAAGCGTCAACATGATTCTGTAGCACCTTCTGTGCGCAGCCAAACTTACTGCTTGGGTTTGCTTCTGCAACTCTTCCGCGGCATCGCTCGAGGAGACACGGGCTTTCTCCTTTTCGTCTTCGACAGCTTTCTCGGCAGCCTTTGCCCGCTCTTCAAGCTTGGCGATGTCTTCGGGATCGACGCGGTTGTATTGTTGAAGAATGCTCTGCGCTCGTGCCTGCCATCGCTTGTTATCCTCTTGAATGATGCGAAGCTGACCTTCTTTCGCTTCGAGTTCCACCTGCGTAATGCGTAATTGTTCCCGCAAAGGCTCTAGCTCGGCATTGCGAGCGTTGAGTTGTGACTCGAGTTGCGCAGCCTTGCGTGTAGCACGCTCGGCCTCGTCGCGAAGCGTTGCGTTGCTCTCGCGGAGAATGCTTAGCTGATTGACCTTCTCAAGAAGCTCCTCGTGATGCTTGCTGCTGCTGCCGTCGGAACTAGCGCGGGCGCGCTCTTCAGCCAACTGTGCTTGAGCAGTGTTGTGAGCCGCAGTGCTGTGCTCGAGACCTTGCCGCAATCGGACAATCTCCTGATCGCGCAGTTCGACCTGAAGTTGAACGATCTCCTTTTCGCGTCGTAGGTAGTTGATGACCTCTTGTAGCTCTCCTTGCGCACCCTGCGCGAGTGAGGTTGCATCTCCACTGATTCCGGTGGCAGAAGGAAGCTGGTCGGCAGCCTGTCGTATTTGGCGAGCCTGTGCACTAACGCTTTCGAGGTGCTGGTGCAGTATTGTGTTCTGCTCCTGGAGCGATCCCATGCGAACTTGCAGCTCTTCCTTCTCCTTAGCGATGATGGAGCGCTGAGATTCCCAGCTGCTCTGAGACGCGCTCAGATTCGCCTCAGCAGTTTCACGCATTGTGATTGCCTCTCTCGCTTCCCTCTGCGCAGTTTCTACCTGTTGCTTGATGGCAGACAGCGCTCTGATGTCGTCGGCGTGAGCAACGAGCTCGGCCTCGTACTTGGCATGCGCTTCACGAGCAAGCTTAGCTTGCTTCCTTGCCTCATCTCGCGAGTCATCCTGCTCAGCGCGCACGCGCTCCTCGAGGCCGCCGAGTTCGGCCATCGCTGCCTCAAGTGAACGTTTCTCTTCCGCGAAAGTGCGCTGAGCAGTCTCAAGCGCCTGTCTAGCGGTGGTGGACTCTTGCTGAGAGGAGCTCAGCTCAGACAGAAGGGAGTCCAGGCGTTGACGACGACTGTTGATCTCGGACTGAGAGATGAGAGGAAGTGCATATTATCAGCAGATGCACCTTGCCCTTGTGAAGGCATATCACTCACCTCTTTCTGAGATAGCTCTGCCTCAGTCTGTGCCTTGTACTCCTCGTACGTCTTCTGTAGCGCACCAAGAGCCTCCTCATTGGCTTCTGCGATGGCTTTGAACTGTTCGACATGGTCGCGAGCCTGCTCTGCCTCAACTTGGACAGTGCTGAGACTGCCGCGGAGGTCTGCGACTTCGACCTCGAGTTGTTGTTCGCGAGTGAGCAGCGATGTCGATGAAGACGGCGCATTGCGGCGCTCAAAGACTGCTAAGCGTTCCTCTTTGGACTGCAGCTGTTTGGTGAGATCCTCTACCCGTGTGCCAAGATGACTGGCGTCCGATTTGGCGGCAGCAAGATGCTCCCGCGCCGTCGCGCCTTCCGTCGCAGCCTTCTCGAGACGTAAGCTCAAATCCCGGACCTGGACCTCATGCTGAAGTTTGAGCTGTCGGGAGCTCTCCTCTTCTTTTGTGAGCTTTTCGCGGAGGTCTCGTGTCTGATCTTCGAGGTTAGACACGCTGGCTTCCAAACGCCTTCTCGCTTCACCGCCCGCTCGTTCCAGCTCATTCTGCATGCCTTGAACGTTGCGCAGTAGATCTGAGAGGGCCGCCTTCTCACTAACGAGGTTGCGATTCTCCTCAAGCACTCGCTGTTGTGTACTTGCGTGGAGTTCCTTCTCAGCGCGCAGGTTGGCTGCTTCGTTCCGCAAACGTTCGAGACTCGAGCGAGCCTCCAGAAGCTGAGTCTCTGCGCTGTGTGAAGAAATCTCGCGACGAGTCAACTGTTCCTGAATGGCGTTGTTGCGCTTGCTGAGCTCTGATAGCTCCGATCTGGCCAGCTCGTAAGTCTGATTGAGCGTTCGATAGCGTTCTGGACGTACCGAGTCCGTGTCAGTCACTAGCAGCGTCGGGTGCGCACGATGACTACTCACCTTCGCCAGCCTCTCGCATCGCTCTCTGGCGCGCGGTTTCTACTGATGCCCGACCAGCCTCCTCTCTTGCTCGGTGTACATCTTCCTTGAGTCGCTCGATGTCCTGGGCTGTCTCGTCTCTAAAGGTGTCGAATTGTCCTTGCAATTCAGCATATTGACTTGCAAGATTGGTACTGGTGGCGGAGACAGGGCCATTCTCCGTTGCGCCGGCACCGATTGCGAGGGAGCTTCCGGTCCGCGCGCACATTGATCTGAACATGTCCCGTTCGCGACGAGCAGCCTCGGCCCTTTGTCGCTCGGACTTCATCTCTTCTTGCAGACGCATGATCAAATTGCGAGCTTCTGCGACCGCCTCGCTCTCGTCTTGCTCTGCTTGCAAAGCACGCTTTTGCTCTTCCGCCTCCTTCTGAGATCCAAGCTCCCTTATAGCGTGCAAGAGACGTTGATTTTGTGCCAGCAGACCCGACAAGGAAGAGAATGTTACTAGTTCTGCGGTGATGATGGCTTGGGTGTCACCTTCAATCGTCTCTGACCCGTCAGAACCATCATCATCTAGTCGTGTTGCTGCAGCTGGGTCATCTCGAATGATAGCTTCCCGCGTCAAGTTGCGAACCTGACGACCCAAGTCGGCTATTTGCTGTGCGGATACGTCGGCTTCCCTGCGAGCCGCTTCGGCATCTGCTTTTGCAAGCTTAGCAGAACGCTGGGCTACATCGCGTTCCTGACCAGCTTGAGCCATTTCAGCCGCAAGCTCCTCGAGATCGGCTGCAAGCCGTTGAACCTCCTCGCGCTGGGCCTGTAACGCGGGAGCACGATCCTCCAAGTCAGCCATGACTTGCTCCAGGACAGTGCCAAGTCGAACAACTTCTGCGCGCTCGCGGCGTAGCTCCTCCTGCGTGCGCACGAGGTCGCTGTACACGGCGCTAAACGACTTGCCGCTCCGCTGCACCTTCGATGCGAGGGCAGCCGTAGGCGAGAACGAAGAGCTGAATGATGCGCCGAGCGCCGAGTTGGCAAAACTGCGCTCGCTACCTTGCGGGCCTGCACTACTTTCTCTGCGAAGCGCGTCAGAATCTAAGTTGATGCCGACACCTTCTGCTAGGCGATCGAGCGCTTCTTGCAGTTCGCTGACCTGCGACTCCGCTCTGCGCCTTGCGTCAGCCTCTTCACGTGCTTCGTCTCTTGCGACTTGTTCAAGGTCTCGGGCGCGACTGAGAACATCTTCCCACTCATCCTCCACATTCTTGGCTCTGCGATCTGCATCTTCGGCTCTTCGCTCAAGCAATGAGATGAGGCGCTGTTGAGTAGCGCTCTCGGCTCTGAAAGCCTCTTCTTGAGAACCCGCTCGAGCTGTCGTATCTGCAAGCTTGTCCGTAACCTCGGTGAGTCTCTGCAGGTTGGTGTTGTATGCGTTCTGCAAGGTGTCTAACTTGGTCTGAGCCGCAGAGCCGGCAGAGGTTGCACTTTCAAGAGCTGCCTGCAACTGAATGATCTCGTTGCGCGTGGAGGTGCGAGCTGCGCTCGCGGCTTCGTTAGCGCGAGTCAATTCGCCATGAGCCCAGCTGGCGTCGTTGCGTGCCAGCTCAAGCTGTTGTTCCAAAGTTTGGGTCTTGAACTGCAGGAGACAAACGTCATGGAATGAATGAAGGCGCAAGGAGATCACTGCGCACCTGCACACTCACCCGAAGCGTGCCTTCGCTGCCGCGCACAGATGAGAGGTCCGAAGAGAGGCGGGACAATTCTGCTCGGGTCTCACGTGCCCTAGCGCTTAGAGTCTCCAGTTCCTCTGCGGCAGACGAGGGTGTTTGGGATCAGCCATGCTCAGCAGACACGTGCCAATTGTCAGTTCACGAGAGCACTGACCAGCTTTCCTGGCATTCTCGAGCTTCTCACGGTCCAGCAGCTCCAAGAGATTACGCTTCTCCTCTTCCACAGCTTGTACGCGCCGCTCCGCTTCTGATGAGCCTGCCTGTGGCAGAGCGGCTGAACTTGTCTCCGCATTCTTGCGCTCTCGCTCTTTATGCAGCTCACTCTGAGTGGTGACGAGCCTCTCCTCGGAGGTAAGGGCCCGCTGCTCAGCAGCTTCTGCGCGCTGTGTGGCCTCTGACGCCGCTGCTTGCGCAGTGTGCAGCGCAGTTTCAGAGTCAACGTCAGCGCGCTGACGCTCCTGTCGCTCTTGATTCAAGGTGTATGCAGCGTGTTGCAGAGCACGATACAGCGTGATGATGAGACTTCCATCTGGGCACGCCAATCGGTCAGGTGTCGCTTCCGTACCAGGCTGAACGCCCTGGATTTGTGCTTGCAGAAGTGTCAAGTCCAGATCAGCCGGCAAGTCGAGCGCAAGCGCGCTAGACTGCGCGACTTGCGCCATGCTTGCGGCTCGTAGTGGGAGCCACAGGCCTATGCGGCAAGGCCGTGTGAGGTCTAGAATGTGCGATGGAGGCGATGAGTCATCGAGCGGCAAATAATCGCGCTGGTTGCGCGCGCGCTCTTGATTAAGTCGAGAAGTCCTTGTACATGCGCTTGAAGACGGCAGCAGTAGGATCAGATGCTCGGCGTGGTGTTGTCGACGAGGAAAACGGGATTTGACAGGCAGTCCAACACTCGTGACTGTCAGCAAACGCCTCAAAGCGTGGATGGTGGGTAGTTGTCAGGTCCAGACGCATCATGCAGTCGGCGACATGCTCCCCCGCGATCTTCTGCTGTGTGACATCCGTGCGCGACGCGGTCGAACGCGTCCCACAAATGATGAGCCACGTGGTCGACCCTCATCCGCGAATCCACCTCACGGTCTCGGTCGCAGCGTGGCGACCGCACAGCCGAGCTGCCATCCCGACTACGTATTCAGAGTATGCAAACTTTGATTCTTGACCGTGCTTGATCTGCCGATGGACTAGCACAACCAAGATTGGAGCAGCCTTCGAATTCGTGAAGGCGACCAGGCACTCCAAGTGCATGAAGAGTTCTCGCGCAATTAGGTCCCGCACGGGGTCACGTGGGCCAACACCCAATCAATTGAATCTTTGCAAAACTTCATCGAGTCACATTCAAATAAAAAAATTATGATTCAGATGCGGCCTTTGGAATCTACAAGATCAAGGAGATAGATCTGCCCTGATGATTTTCCAGATCCAATCCGTGGTGCTGTTCACAACCGTGTGCGTGGTATGATTGCTTGCTATCGTCGTGCCCGCATCGTACACGGTGAGCCGCGCGGCTGGCGGTGTACGCGGCGTCTTCGCGGGCACTTCGCAAAACAACACCCGACGCGGGGCCTCCAGGCGCGCACACCCTCCTACCGCGATACGTCAATCGAACAACCATGCAGCGTGGTCGATCGTTGGCGCAAAGTGGCGACTACCGTGCAATCGCTGTGCACGCCCACAAATTAGCACCCCTGAACAGCAACCGGACGCCGGTGCTTCACAGCACGGGGATTTCGAGAGGGTTAGCGCGAGCGTGTTATTCGCTGTTGCTGTTACCTCAGTGTCCGAGCTGAGTTGTGCGGAGCATCAAATTTGCAAGATCTCGCGCTGCATGACGTCCCAGCAAGGCTGGCTGCACTTCTCGATGGGGTAATAATGGGTCAGCAATTGTGACCATGCCAAGCACGTTGAAGCGGCTGAGAAAGATCTTTTGACAAGTGTGGATGGCGATCTTGGAACGGGACAAGCAGAGGTGTAGCGCGGCTCTTGCCGCGGGGCTCTCCCTACGCACAGCCCTCACGATACGAATGCCCCTGACGCAGCAGTCGTGAGTCTTGTCCGTTGCTGAGCGCCACAAGGCAAGCCACGGATGGAAGCACGCACACGAGAACACTCATCACTCATGACTGTACAACTTCGCCAACCCAGTCGTGTCGCATCGTCTCCTTGGAGCCACGGACGAGCTGGATCGCACGCAGGTATTAATGATTGGACCGACGTGGATGATGCGGTCATGCAATCGACCCTTTCGAATGGCTGTACGCACAGGCATAGCCACGGTGCTCCATTGTGAATGACAGTCTGTGAGTCGTGACTCGTGAGTCAGCACCAGCAGTCAGCAGTGAATCGCGAGTTGCAACACCACAGCAATTATAGAGAAAATGTGTGCATGCATGCAGGGGCGCGCCAAAGGGACACCGATGAAGCGAGAGCAGTAAGCGCGCTTGCTGAACAGCTTACGACATTTCGCGCTTGCGCGCGGCGGCGGGCGCGTTCCT